TTCAGCAGAGCTGCATCAAACACCAGAGCCCACAGTAGAGCACGTAGCCATCCTACGTGTCCATGTGGAGCCTTGTCCCCGGTGCCAGCGCTGGGCACCCAGGAGATGGCTGGACTGGGGCAGACAGGGGCAGCTGTCCCGTTGTGCCTGTGCCCGGGCGGTGGGACCGGAGCTGCTGTGCCCGGCTGCGTGCTGGCTGGCCGGTGGTGCTGCCTGGTGGGTTTTCTGGTTGTTGTTTCTAGGCGAGGTTTGCAAAAGGTCACAAAAATTAATCTTCTAACTGGGGACCTTGGCACTGCGTGGAATGAATGTTTTGCATTAACAACCTAACTCGTTAATTCACTGAAACATTTAAAACCAAACCAGTTATATCCAGCCAAGCTGGAAAAAGCTGAAAGTTCATACTCAGCAGTGCAGATTTCGAAACCTCCCTTTGTTAATCTCTGCAGAAGTAAATTTTCTGAAATTGCTAAGCTCACTTTGACTGGCCTCAACATTGTTTTCCTCAGTGGAGGCAAAGCTGCTCTGCAGAGGGTTAACGGTGTGTACCTGGACCTGCCGATGGGGACGGAAAGGCTCCCATGCTGGGGGAGGAAGGAGGGTTGGTACTGGGAGCGTTGCAGGGGGGGAACACTCAAAGCACCGTTGTAGGTTTTAGGCTGTCTGTAGCAGAAATGCTGCGTTGTTTTCATAGATGGGGATCCTGCATCTCGTGGTTTCCATTTTCCTCTGTTGTTATTTTCTGAACTGCTAGGGGTAGCACATCTCGTGGTGCTCCTTGTACTTGTGTGTAAGCTGCAGGTGGGTCGCTGGCGTGGGGCCTTTGTGGGCCTTGTACGTGGAGGAGAAGGGGGCAGACTGGGGCAGCGCAGGAGCGAGCTCAGTGCAGGAGCAAGCTCAGCTCGCAGTTCACCCTTCCCTCGCCGCTGGCTCGGAGTACAGGGCTTGCTTCTTCTGAGCCACAACCCTTGAGAAACTGATGGGTGGCCACCAACCTGGCTGTCCCTGTAGCCAGAACATGGTGACAACAGCATAAAACTGCATCTACCAGTGGAGCAGATGTATCCTGTGGTGATTTTTTCTTAACTGTTTTATGTTGGGAGCTGTGCAGACAAGCGAGCACGGCCAGCCGTGTATCAAGGGTGGGGAGCCACCACCCAACCCAAGCCATGCACCTGAGTTCGTGCCTGCCTTGTGCAAAAGCCGGGCTGCTCATCGCTGTGACAGGAGTGGGCTGTGCACGGTTGTCTCGCTGTCGTGTGAGCGAACACACATTAGCCCCAGGGTCAGTTCTTGGTGCTTTAGATATTGGAGAAATGTACCCCCAGCCACGTGCTGGGCTGGGGTCCAACCTGGCCAAAGGAGCCTTTGGGCTGCTGTTCCTTCCAGCCTTAGTTTGTCTGGGAGCATCACTGCGACTGAATCGGTTTGACTCTACTCTGAGTCAGTTTTCCCTCAAATTTCCACCAGCAGTGGCAGGTTTAGTTGACCTGCTTACTCTGCTACCTCACTGTAATTACCAGACGTAAGTTAAATAGGAACCGTCAACTTAAGTACAATCCCTTTGTCTTCCTGGCTGCCAGGTAGCTATTCCATTCAGCTCATGTCTCTTTGCTCCAGTTCATCATAAAATAATACATAGGAAATCAAGTTCTTTACACATGGCTGTACAAATTGGTCTGAGACATTCGCAGTGGTGGTATGTGGAGATCTGTTGTTAAGACTGTTTTTTAATTGAATAATTTTTCTGCCATTAATTTATCCTATCCATTAAAACAGCCTCACTTACTTTAATGACACAGAAATCAGTGAATTATCCGTTCTGTTATATTAATGGTGTATTAAAGTATTAGTGCATTCCAGAAGGTGAGCAGTGAATAAAACATGCTCCGAACATGTGGTTATGCAACTGTTCCATAGAAATGAAGTGGACAAACAGTACACTTGATTAATTTTTTTCCCAGTAAATTGGCACTGTGATTTACTTCTAGCTAAATTTGCAATCTGTGTTCTCAGGTGGCATTAATATTGGAGCCCCAGCAGGAGAGCTGTGGCGGCTGGGGCCGCTTTGATTGCATTTTTAACGAAAGTTGTTGGAGAGAGCACGGAGCTTGATGCAAATGTGCTGGTAAATGAAATGCTGAGCTTTTAGGTTCTCTGTAGGTGGGTCAGGCCATTCACATTTACCCAAAATAATAGTGATGGCGTGCCTGGGAGAGGCACCTCGTTAATGTGGCACAGTGGGGGTCTTTGTCTATCTCTGTTCATCTGTATCAAATTTACTCTGTTGACAGATAAAAATCATGTTTTTGATACCTGGCAACTCCATAAACACTAGGTGAGATCTGTCTGGGGCTCGAGCTGTCTCAGAAATGGAGACTCTGGAACTGGATCTCTTATCAGGAGGTTGCTGTAAATGAAAAAGCTTGCAGAGGGCCCAGAAGTTGCTCCCTGGCCTGTGTTAGAGCTGCAGAATGAAATGAAATAACAATTCCCTTTTACCGTTGCTTCCCTGACACAAAACTCCTTTCAGCCTTTAAAGTTATATTTCGTAGCCTTCAGGCTGGTCTTACTGTTTCTTTCCTAATTGACTTGATTTGGAAAAGTCATCATACCCTGCTTGATTGTGTAATATTTAACTTAGCATCAAAAATGAGGATCTTGGGATTGGTGTCAAATGGATGCTGGTCCCCTCTGAATAGCAAAGCCCATTCATAGTCATCCAAGTATTCGGCTTGCTAGTGCTCATGAATAACTTTCTGGACCTCTGCAGAGGGAAGGACTAACCATGAAAAGGTGGGATGAGAGGGGCATAAAGCAGGTATTGAGAGTGTGCGATTCGTGCTGGCTAAATCCAGATCACAGCTTTAATACCTGTTTTATTTATAGTTATATTTTTTTAAAGTTATAATTTCTAGCTTTTCACGAAGCTTTAGCATAGCAAACAGTCTTTTCTGATGCCAAGTTCAGTGATGACTAATACTATTTACAGGACTGTTTTGTAATCTCAGATCAGCCCACATTAACGGGAAGTTACGTTTTCCCATCAGTCTTTTAAACTGTGCCTGAGAGTTGCTGAGGCCAGAGTCGACCATCCAGGCTCTCCTCTTTGGAAAAAATGATGTCAGCTTTCAGAACAATTTTTTAAAAATTTTCTAATGAAGTTAGGGAGGTCAAATTGTACTTCCTCCATTTGATTTTTTTGCATTGGGGCCTTTCATTCCACTGTTCTAAAAGCTACTGACAAAAATAAGCAGAGGAGGTATTGCATAAGCACCACGAAGTCATTTGCCCGATCTGCATTTCTCAGTGCATGAGATCAGCTCAGAATATCTGATAGGAGAAAGCTACTGGTGCACAACTGCTGTAACTGATAGGAGTTACCTCTGTGAGTCATCTGGTAGGATGGTAAGTTGGCCTTTTTTTTTTTTTTTTTAAGTTCAAGTTTTTGTGAGTGTTTTTATAAAGCTTCGTCACTGTTACTGTAAATCCCAGGCAAATCTGGCACGGAGTCTTTGTACTATGAATCAGTGTGTCCGTATGCTTCCAAGTGACCTTGCAATCTGGAAAAATACCATTTTATCTTAGTGTTTAAAGGGAGGGAAAAAAAAAAAAAGGCACAGTTGCTGTAGAAAAGGTTGACAGAGAGGTTAAGGCAGAGATGTTGCTCCCTCAGATGTGCTGCCTTCCCTGTCATCGGGACTGTCACCAGGCAAGTGACTCCTGGTGCCAGCTACAGCAGGCAGCTTTACTGCCCCCGGGTCGTGATCTCAGGCACAGAGCATCCGCTGTGCAGATGGCGAAGCTACATCAGGCCAGGAATAAGGTTGTGGCTAATGCCCTGGCGTTCCACAGGCTTGAGAAGCTCAGGAACTGCTTTAGCTTTGGGAAAAGGGAAAAAAAAAAAAATCCTCCCCCCCTTTTTTTTTTTTTCTTTTTTTTCTTTTAACGTGACAGATCTCTGGTCACCCTAAGCCCAGAAAAATGGGCTTGTGTTGCAGAGAAATTGTACTTGCTGAGGAAATACCCGCAGTGCACTGAGTTGTACGAATGCCAAAAGCTGCAAAGGTGGTGGGAGGGGAGGGCTGAGAGCCAGGAACATGTGTGTGATGCTGCCCTTGTGCTTTGGGGCCCCACCTTCTCTTGTAGCTCCAGCCGAAGACTCAACAGATGCTGTTAAAACAGTTACGAAGTGTGCAGGGGGTGGGAATTTCACAGATGCTTTGTGGGCTTGCTGAACGAGGAGGGCTGAAATACAGGGCCCTGGCTGCAGCCTCCTTGCTCCCTGCAGCAGAGCTCCAGGCGTCTCTGCAGGCAGAGGTCCTTGGCACCGTGCTTTGAGCTGGCGAGAAACTTCCCGACAGGATGGTCGGAAAATGCCGATTTTGAACAAATCAAAATGTTCTGTGGGGGACGTGTTGGGTTTTTTGGTCAGGTTTTTCCAATGGAAAGCAGGCGGCTTTCCCAGGGTGACCCTGCCTGGTATCGCCTCCTGTGTGCCGCTGAGCCGGGAGCCAGGGCGCGCAGGGAGCCCGGGCACTGCTCTCGCCGCCGAAGCACCGGTGACGGGTCTTGGCAGGGTGAGGGGAAATTTTGGTGGTTTTCCTCCTCAAATGAGAATTTGATGTGGGCTGTAAAAGAGGCATGTTTGTGTGTTTGTTTTTAAACAGGTAATTCACAGATTGTACGTGTGAAAATAGAGTAAATCCAAGGTCAAGTTAAATTTTTCCAGCGAAAGAGGCTGAAAATGATTTATTGAGTGAAACAGTTAAATACCAGGACAGTTGTGCTTTGTCTAATGCCAAGGGAACTAACTCCTCCTCCCTCTCCTTGTCCTCAGGTTCAGTGGCAAATATGAACATTAGTCAACATTTGACAACAGCTCCTTGGGACATCATGAATTTGCTGGAATCTAGACCACAAAGCACTTGCAATAGAGCTTTTTAAATTTGGATTTAATTTAAATGAACGAAAAATAAGCATCTGGATCAATTGTCGTGATGGCTAGCAAAAGAAAATCCACAACTCCCTGCATGATACCAGTAAAAACACTGGTGCTTCAGGAGACTGAACTGGACGCCGTAGAAGATGATCGTGAAAGAACGCAACAAGATGCTCCTGCAGAAGGGCCAGCAGCTAGTGATGCTAGTGCCAGTAACAGCAATAATGGAGCTTTGTCTAATGGGCACCGCGGTATTGCTGATAGTGACACTTATATCTGCAAGTCTTGTGACTTTGGATCTCAAGACGTTCATCACTTCTTTGGGCACTTGGACTCTGAGCACTTAGACTTTAGCAAAGACCCTGCGTTTGCGTGTGTTGCGTGCAACTTTCTGGCAAATAGCCATGAAGGGCTCTCGCACCACAATGCAGAGTCGCATGCCGGTGAAACGAGCTTCGTCTGGAGGGTGGCTAAGCAGGACAATCGTATAACTGTGGAGCAAAGTGTCTGTGAGGCTGCCAGCAGCCATGACCTTCCAGGAGAGGTCCCTGAAGAAGGGGTGGATGGCCAGTCCGAAATTATCATTACCAAAACGCCCATCATGAAGATAATGAAAGGTAAACCTGAGGCCAAAAAAATCCACACGCTGAAGGAGAATGTGTCAAGTCAACTGGGCAGTGAGTCAGAGGTGAAAGACGGAGAGCATTCATTCCCAAATGGGTCCGTGCCAGTCAGCCAGCCTACTGCAAGTTCAACAAAATCATCTCATATAGTGAACGGCTCCATCATAGGAAACGTGCCTGTTCTGCAGGCGGGTGTTGCACAATTGGTGTCACTGCAGCAGCAACCCCCGTTGCATCAGCAGCTACCTACATCCAAGTCCCTTCCCAAGGTTATGATCCCCCTCAGCAGCATTCCAACGTACAACGCCGCCATGGACTCCAACAGCTTCCTGAAAAACTCCTTCCACAAGTTCCCCTACCCCACCAAAGCCGAGCTCTGCTACTTGACCGTGGTGACGAAGTACCCAGAAGAGCAGCTGAAGATCTGGTTCACTGCCCAGAGGTTGAAGCAGGGCATCAGCTGGTCACCAGAGGAGATCGAAGATGCCAGGAAGAAGATGTTTAACACCGTTATTCAGTCCGTGCCCCAGCCCACCATTACGGTTTTGAACACGCCGCTGGTTGCAAATCCTGGGAGCGTCCCCCATCTTATTCAGGCAACTTTACCGGGCCACATGGTGGGGCAGCCGGAGGGGACGGGGGGGCTGCTGGTCACGCAGCCCATAATGGCAAATGGGTTGAAGGGCACCAGCTCCTCCTTCAGCTTGGCGGTGACTTCTGTCCCCAAGCCCCAGCCGGCGGCACAGCACAGCACGGTGAGCTCCAGCAACGCCTCGGGGGTGAAGGTGGTCAACAGCGGCCAGTCGCTGCTCACCGCCTGCCCAGCGATCTCCTCGCAGACCTTCCTGGATCCCAATGTGTACAAAAACAAGAAGTCCCACGAGCAGCTCTCGGCCTTGAAAGGCAGCTTCTGCAGAAACCAGTTCCCTGGCCAAGCTGAAGTTGAGCGGCTGACAAAAATCACGGGCCTGTCCACCAAAGAGATTCGAAAATGGTTCAGCGATAGGAGGTACCACTACAGGAACGTGAGAGGGGGCCGGGCCGTCTTCCCTGGAGACAGCACGCTCGATTCCCTGCCCGAAATAACCTTCGACGTCTCGCCCAGAGGAGCTGAGCTGAGCCCGGCAGCGGCGGCTGCGCCGGCCCCTCACCACCCACCGCGGCGGCAGTCATGGCACCAGGCACCTGATTTCACGCCAACCAAGTATAAAGAGCGGGCACCGGAGCAGCTGAAGGCCCTGGAGAGCAGTTTTGCCCAAAATCCCCTTCCTGCAGAGGAAGAGGTGAACCGCCTGAGGGGGGAAACGAAGATGACGCGGCGGGAGATTGATAGTTGGTTCTCGGAGAGGAGGAAGAAGAAGGTGGCGGAGGAAAATAAGAAAGTGGAGGAGGCAGCTCGGCAGGAGGAGGAGGAGGCGGAAAATGGCGGTGGGGAAGGGGAAGACTCCTCCGATGAGCTGAGGGCCGCGGGTGAAAACGGCTCGGTTGATGCCTCTGGCAACAACCTGAACTCGGTGGAGCGGAAGGTGAGTCCCATCAAAATCAACCTGAAAAACCTACGAGTGACTGAGTCCAATGGCAAAAGTGAGTTACCGGGGGCAGGCGCAAATGAGAAAGGGGACGGCAGCTCCAGCCGGCCACCCACCCCTCCGAAAACCAAACTGAACTTTAAAAAAACGGCCCAGCAGCGGCATCTGCTGAAGCAAATGTTCGTGCAGACCCAGCGGCCCACGAACCAGGAGTACGACGCCATCGTTTCCCAGACGGGTCTGCCGCGGGCCGAGGTCATTCGCTGGTTTGGGGACAG